CTTTCTACCAATGGCCAGAGCATCTGTTAGGAGAGTCTCCACATTATCTACTCTCTTCTGGTTTTAGTAACTGCTTCCACCCCTTGTTCCTTCAAATCTAGATTTGGAAGGAGTCCCTGGCCTCCCCGCACCCTCATCTCTCTCACTGCTAACAGTGGAGTGTTGTACTGTGCCTTGTCAGTTTGCCTGAACATTCCCACCCTTGTGTCAATAGTCCCCTTAAAGCACTTCCCTCAGTACCCTTGTTTGAGTGTGCTTTCTCTTTCCTGCAAGATCCCGACCAGTGATGTCTCTGGATGGCCCCATCAAGGGAAGCTGCCCCATCAATTGCTCTTCTGAGAGCTGGAAAATAAAAGAGAAATAGATCATCCATTTTTTTAAGGCATTGTATTTTTTGTTTTGTATGTTACTGTAGGTTAGCCTTGCCCCAATAATAGAGTGTTACACATTTTCTAGGAGTTTGTTCTTTTCATAAATTTCAAATATGTTGGCATGAAGTGGTTCATTAATTCCTCTTTTTCTCTCTCTGATGGCTATAGCATCTGTATGTCATATTTTTCATTTCTGACATTGGATAATTGAGTCATTCTTTTTCTTCATAAGTCTCACCAGATGTGTATTAGTTTTTATTAATCTTTTTAAAGAATGAGCTTTTGGATTTTGTTTAATCTCTACATTACATATAATTTTCTGTTTCATTAGTTGACTAATTATCATTAAAAACTACTCCAGAACTTAGCATGTTAAAACAATCAGAAACTTTTATCATGATGCAGTTTTTTGTGTGTGTGAGCGAAGTAGAAATGAAAGTGTTTTTGTGTAACCTAGCCTCAGCAGTCACACACATCACCTAGAGAACCCCACTGATTACACAGCTCAGCCATAGCTGATGAAGGAATGAGTATCAGAAAGTAAGGATCATTGGGGACCTTCCTGGAGCTGTCTACCTTGTTGGTTCCTGCTCTTATCTTTACTGTTTTCCTTCTGAGCTGCACTACCCACTAATCATCACTCTAGCATCCCCACCTGCATCTCTGACAATTTAAACAGAAAGACTGGGGAAGAGAAGACAATAAATTATCAAAACGCAGCATTTATTATGAGGGGCAATCCCTCTCCTTCCTAAGCCAAGCTCAAGATAAAAAAAATTGGGAGTGTCTACACGAAGGGGAACTTCAGAGCACTGTAAATTTCCAAACCCCCTCACTGTGAAAGGACACATTGGTCCCTAATAATGAGATCCCCAAATCTCTCAGGAGGTTTTATCATGCAGCCTTTCCTAAACTGGCCTGGGGAGAAGGCAGGGCAGGGCAAATTCTCAGGGATCTGCCAGCATCTAAATACCCATAAGTTTCCCATCTCTGGCTCTCTGTGTTCTTCTGAGTCTGGTAAATTTTATCTAATCTGTGTTGTAATGATTAGGGACAGAAAAAAAGACCCATTTTTCAAAACTGACTGTATTTATGCTCTTAGTTATTTTTTTCTCTGTCCCACTAATGGTTAGGCTTTTTGAAATTTAAAATCTGAGAACTGACTATAACATTATGCTGAGTCATTCCTCCCCTGAAGCAATGAAAACTACAATCTTATTGTCTAAATCAGAAAAGGGTCAGATGGGCTAAATAGTAGAAACTTACCTGGCTATAAAACTTTTCAACAAAACTTACATCCAACTGAACAAAATTCTTTAGGAAATAAAGAGGCCATGCCAACACCCCATCCCCAGAAGAGAGAAAAAAATTAACTAACAACTTCCCAGTAAAAGTCACAAAAAGGGAAGGGGGTCAGGGGCTTGGGTACACTGTCTCACTAATGATTTGCTAAAGGTTGACTTGGTTTTTGACCAAGAAAGAGACACTTCTATTCATTCTCATCAAATTAAGGTTGAGTTGGTCCTTAAGACAAAACTACAAGCCAGAACTGTGTTATTTATTTCTGATTCTTTAGGGCCTATGGAATGTTGCTTAATAAGCATTTATTGAATTAATCAGGAGAGCAAGGTTAAAGCAGCCAAAGATAATGACCCTGTCTTCGGGTTCAGAGCCAAGCTGATTACAAAACTTCAGATACAGATTTCACTACAAATAAAAACCTACCACAAAGGATCAGATCAGCCCTGTCCTGCCTTAAAATAGCTGATGTGGTCTGTCTTTATCAGATTTTCCAGAATAGGATTTCCTGTGTTTTCTGCACTGGGTGAATGCACGTTTAAGGAGGGCTCTGGGCAGTCTCAGGATGCCAATTCTTGCTTTTATCCATGAGCTGGGCACTTGATTGTCAGTTTGTGCCTCACGTAATTGGAGGAAGAGAAGGGGAATTGTAAATATTTGAATGTTAGCTTTTCTCCTGGTCTGGACTGCAGAAGGCTCAGAACATCACATTTGTAGGAGGTTATTTACCAAGGAGCCCAAGGTGAGCTGGACACCTCAGTCATCACAGCTCACACATCTTATTGTAGCAAGAATACTAGTGGTGGTAGATTAAAAGAACTGAGCGGTTTGGTTTCTTGTTGGACTGTCATTAACTTGACTTGCAATTAGTTAGACGTTATATAATCTCTCTGCTTCTTTATGTCTACCCATGAGAAAAGCCAGACACATTTTTGTCATTGTCATTTACTTACAGTTCCACTTATCATATAATTAGGGGTTTACTTTTACCAAATGTGTAGATTTTTCAAAATAATGGGTGTCTAGAGTACACAGTACAGAGCTTTGTGAAATATGGTGCCTATGAGAAGTTTCCCTTGGTACACAGAAGCCACCGAGGAGCCCTGGAGCACAGAGCCATTGTTGGCATACTCCGTGCTTATCTCGGGCTTTTCAGACAAAATATTCCGGATGCGAAGTACCTGTCAAGAAAGGTTATTCATTAGTAGACTATGTGAGCAAACAGCCATCAGAGACATTTTCCTTCCCAAATACTCTAGGACTAATACATTTCTCAGAAGTCAATAAAGCTAAAATCTGTACATCTCCAATCATTTTTTTCTTCTTCTGATGAAAGTGTTAATGTCCTAATGATGCCTAGTCAGTCTAGTGGACTAGTGATCTGACATTAGACAAATTTCTCAACAGCTGGTTTACACAAGTGTGACAGGTATCTCTGCAGAGAGAGGTAAGACCCGTGGATACTCTTACCTACCTCTTGACGAAACACTGTTCCTCTCCCTGACCCTTTGACGAGGGGTACAGCGTGGGGAGGGAAACACGGGACAAAATGATGAGGGTACACCCAGTTAGCCAGCCAACCCAACCCGTAACCAGTAGGACGGTAGCCGTCACAGCTGGAGCCCTCCTTCCCCTTCACATTAGAGAAGCGGCTAGGAAGCCTAAAGAATGCCTACTTTGGAATTCAGTCTGACACATCACTGCCTGGTACTGTTATTGATCCCAGGATTAACACACTTTAGTATGCTAATCAGTAAACATATAAGCGTTCAGGTTTCCAAACAGCCTGGACAAAGTTCACTCAAACAGGACATGGTAGGAATGAAAGAAAACCAATTAGAAATCCATGAGTCATGAGGCTATATTGACATCTCTTACTAAAATGGAGTTTAGCTGAGTTGTTTTTTTTTTATCTTAAGGAAGATCCTACAACTTTATCTCAGGTTTGTTACATGAAAATACTCAAGCTTGGAACTCATGGAAAAAACATTCGCCTCCACCAACAGTAAAGGGTGTTGGTGATTGCGATGAAAGAAGTCTTATCTGAAATAAATGATTAAATTTGAAAATGGAGACATGAAAAAGAGCCTAAACAATTTTCAAATCATCCTATATGTCATATTTTCATTCTCTTAAAGCAGACGATGTTACTGGGCATTTGTAGAAAAGTTGCATGTGTCATTTTTGGGGGCACATATCTGAGGCAAGAGTACCTTGCTAGCTTAGGGTAACAATTCTTCAGGCTTTAGGCTTGGGTAGGACTTTTATTTCTTTTTATATCTTTTGATTTTTTTTTTAACTGAAGAACAGTAATCTTAGAAGCAGAATCACTATATGTTCTACTTTACCCACTGGGCCAATTACCAGGGTAGGATTTGAATCTCAATTTCCCAACTCCTCAAACCTACATTCAAACATTCCATCTTTATTCATACCTGACCTTCTCAATGAAATATCCTGATCTCTGGGTTTACCAAGACCTGCCATCTCCCTGTTCACAGCAATCCTGATCCCTTTTCACTGTTATGCTTTTACTTCCCATAGCACTTCCCACCTTCAAACTTACTTCATAATTTACTCATTTCTTAATATGTATTGTTTATTGTCTGTCCCCTACCCTAAGAGCAGGGATTTTTGTATGTTTTGTTTTCTGATATATCCTAACCATTAGAACAAAGTCTGGCACATTATAAGTGCTCAATAAATATTTGTAAATAAATCTCTCAGAGTATGTGTGCCAAGAATTTATATCTGTATTTAAATTCACTAGAGATTTTTTTATTCTTAAACTTGAAGTGCTGTAGAAATTGCAATGCTTTACGTTTTTAATGCCATAGAAAACTCAATGGCATATGCTATTGTTTTAGAAGAGATTTTAAATAACACAAATAACATCTTAAAAATGATACATCCTTCAACACTATCATATATATTAGAACCTGCTGGCAAAAACTAATTTTATTTCGAGATTTCAGTCATTGAAACCCTTTCATTTGAGCTTCCTATTGGAGAGTGTGAAAGATGGTTCCACATAGGGCTCCCCCTTTGCCTAAGAGCCTGCTCAGAGCCTACATCCTTATTGGAAATATCATATGGTAATCTGGGTCAACAGGAATAATCAAGCTCATATTTTCCTATTATTCCCAATAGCAAGTATAGCCTTTGCAAGGATGGGATGTGTTGTTTAGCACTGATGTTAAACTGGCACCTGGTGACCTGAAAGGGTCAATGGGCTGTTTCTCCCCATCCTGCCCCAAATCTCTACTCTTTCCATTTATAGAGTTGTTCAGTTCTGGAACATCACGTATGACCTGCTAAATTCTCCCAAGTCACCTCAACAATGTTTGTTCTTGTAGCTTTTCCTGTGAGCTCAGAGAATTATAAGAACTTACTTCTGACCCTGGAGGATCCTCAGGGTTATAGAGCAGCAGCTTGTTGGCATTAGGATGGCATCCTGCCAAAATGTCTCCCGTGTCTGGATCAACAGTTAAGTTATCCACTAAGGTGCTCAACTGTATGACCTTCCAACAAAGAGGAAGTAATGAAGACATTGTTTTGACTTTTTTCCCTACCTCCTCCCTCTCACCACCTGCTTCTGACTCCTGAAGGTATTTTTAAGGGGCTTTGCTACTGAATTTTAGAAGTGCAAACATAATCTCACCAACATTCTTTTAAAATGGTCATGTTTCCTTCGTTTAAGAAGCACATAGCCAGGCCAAGTTTAGGAGCTAAGATAATAGAACAGGTTGTGTGGGAAGCCAGGATTCTTTTACCTTCAATTGAGTTAAATCCCAGTTGTCATGTTTTTCCATTACATGAATGTTCTTAGCCAATACATCAGCTACATAGATATACCTTTGAAGTAAATAACATTTACATTTAAGCAAGTAGTAATGAGAGATGACACAAACTTTCATTTTGGAGAAGAGGTATAAAAATTCACGATAAGTCAAAGTGCCACTGAAATGTTTTTCTAAACCACAGTAAAGGAAGATAATGGAATGGTATTTTTAATACGCTTGAAGTGCTTTAAATAAGCTTTGACTATGAGATATCACCATAGAGTAATGGAATTGGTGTTTCTAGATGACATATAAACTCAGTCTCATTACTTAGGAGTCACACTTTATTCTTTAAATTGAATGGAGGCAAGTGGGTAAGTGGACCTCTTATACGGCCAAAAGAGTCTATTCTTCCAAAAACTAGTATCAGATGACCATAAAGCTGAATCACAATCATTTTTAAAAAGAAGAACACTTAAGAGTCATTTTCCACAGGAATCATCTCTGTTTATTATCTCCCATTTACATGTCAATATTCATGGTACTTTTATTTTTAAAAAACCTTTCATTTTAAAACACTGTAAAGAATGTTTCTCATAAAATTTCATTTTGCATAAAATAGTGTTTTCTCATAGAACAGTCTGCTGTACTTACACAATCACAATGCCCAATCCAAGTTGGGTCTCCCCATCTAATGAGAACTTTTGAGTAATTGTATAAGTAAAGTAGTTAAAGACCTTCTAGCCTCATAAGGGGAGATGTACTGTGCATTTTTTCTCCTTTTTAGTCACATAAGGATTTGGAACAAGGACCTCATATCCTTGAGTCCAAATCCGTCATTTCACTGGGGCAGCCTGAAGCGCAAGAGGGCAATGGTTGGCTTAAGATCACATGTTTAGTGTGAACCCTGGCCACATGGGCTCCCTCCACACATCTATTGACTATTTAAGCCTCAAGAAGTAACCAGTTCTTCAGGGAGTCCAGTAAAATGTCAAGGGCAAAGGGTTGAAAATTTATAAAATAGCTTACTTCTTGTCTGGTGAGACTGTGATCCCATTGGCAGAACTAAATCCTTCGGCCACCACTTTAACCTCTCTTGGACTGTAGAAAACAACAGAAGTCCAGCGAAGGTCCAGGAACATCTCTAGCTGTGCCAAGAAGAAGTTGGTAAAATAGTGGTCTCTGGTAGCATAGAACTGCTCTGCTCCAAGAACCACAATGTCATTCACACTAAAATGAAAAGAGAGAGAGAGAGAGAAACTTCATGGACTATTAAAAAATCATTAAATCTCAAAGATCAATAAGTTCATCAGTTTGAAACAGTATACACAAATTAGTATGGATTAAAATTTCCGTAGAAAATACATGATTTTTCATTGTCCTGATGGATTTTCTTTTAGTCATTTATTTTCTCACTCCTCCCTTCCACAGAAGTCAGCGAAAATGAACAAATATACAAATAAGCCTCAAATCTAAGTCTGTTGGCTCATAAATGTTAATGATAGTTGTCATGTTGGCCATAGTGCAGCTCACCAACAGTTCTGGGTCTCTTCCTTCTTGACTAGGCTTCTCTGTGCCCCTGGAGTTAGGCACAGCCATGTGACTTGCATTGGCCAAGGAAATGAAGTAATGTGTGTGGCTTCCCAGATGGGAGACTTTAAGAGCCAGTACAAGATCCACCATCCTTCCCTCAGCTTTCCACAGTAACCAGCAACTTTTCTGATAATAGATTGTCATCCTTTTAGAGCCCTACATGAGGACAACATAACACTGAGTGCCTGAATCACCTACACTGGATATGCAGCATGAGTGAGAAAATGAAACAAAACTTTGTGGTTTTGAGCCTTAACGATGTGAGGTCTTTTTCTTTTCTGTTATTGTAGCATGACCCAGTTCAGGCTGACCTTTATGTTTTCTCTGTGTAGGTGGGACAATGAGTGTTATTCTTTCTTATTTACATTCTTCAGTACCATTAGAATTTTTATATGAAGCAAATCTTACTCTGACAACAATTAAAACAGTCATTTCCATTTTGGAAAAGAAAAAAATGGTGACTTGACAAAAATATTTTAAAAGATTGAACTTTTAAAATTTAACTTTGGAAAGAAAAATTTGGATGAATTAGGAAATACTTTGAGGTTTTGATGTACAATGACTTTTCCAAGGTCATTAGGCTACTTTTCTTTGCCTAAGGTTCAGCTTAGGCATTCCTCCTTCCAAAAATTATTGCCTGGCAGCATAGATTAAATTAAATTCCCTTATAATTTGTTCCATAGTACCTTGTTCTACCCTCTTGAAATGCCTGGTCAATGTGTATAATCAAGGTACCTCTCAGGGTCCTCTTTAGATCCTCAAAGCCACTCCTGCCCTGTTCCAGGTGGCACTACTTCGACCAGCTGTGCATGGGATCTGACAGACTTTCCACAATGCAACCTTATAGCACCTTAGCTCATGTCTGTTATGGGCCTGTTGCTCCCACTTCCACGCTTCCATGTCGACATCATAGCACAGGATGTCACCAGTTTACCTTGCATGTCTGCAGCCAGGTATGTGCAGGAGTTCACATACCTTGAGGCAAACCTTTGACTAATGGGAAATGGGGCTGAGAGATAAACTCTTCTCCCTTTCTTATCTGGGCCAGATTGTCCTGAAATGAGGTTTCTGTTTCTTGTTGGAGGACAATTCCATGATTTCAAGTAGTCAGTTGCACTTAACAATGGCTGGCTTCCTAATGCATTTGCTATAGACTCTCTCCTGTATGAGTTTCCAAGGGCTGCTGTAACAAGCACCACAAACTGGGTGGCTGAAGACAATAGAAATTTATTGTCTCATAGTTCTGGAGGCCAGAAGTCTGAAATCAAATTGTTGATAGAGCCATGCTCCCTCTAGAGGTTCTACGGGTGGATCTGTCCTTGCCTCTTCCAGCTTCTGGTAGCCCCAGGCGTTCCTTGGTTTGTAGATGCATCACTCCAATCTCACTCTCTGTCTTCACATGCATTCTCTCTGTGTGTCTTCTTACAAGGACAACAGGCCCACCCTGCTCCCCCCATCTTAACTAATTATATCTGCAATGATCCTATTTCCAAAGAAGGGGTTAAAAGTTCAACTTATCTTTTTGAGGGGACACCATTTAACCCATAACACCCCCAATCCCTGCCTCAAGCTGGTCTCTGACTTCTGCTTCCTGGGCTGGTGCTCCCTAAGAAGGTAGTTGTGTCTCACTTTTCCCTGGGGCTGTGCTTTCTGAGGAACTCTTCCCATGGGGTCGTGTTACTGCATTTGATCCTCACATCATCAGGCCAGTGAGAGAATCCCCATTTTGCTGAGGAACACTGAAGTACAGGTTAAGTGACTTGTCACCAGTTTCTCGGTCACCCCGTAGCAGTCCTGGTCCCCACTGTGCCTCAGAGCCCAGCACACTGCCTCATGTGGAAAGTCAACAACTTCCACTTCTCCAACTTCTACCTCTGCTTTTGTTGCCCCCAAATTCTGCAGGGAGAAATTCATACGGGTTGTTGAGAAAGACAGCAAAGGAGAGAAGATGGACTTTCTTTCTTTTCTTTCCCTGCTCTTCTCATGGAAAGGTTAACCTCCACTGTTTTAGAACCAGTCTTTCCGCATCAAGTCCATTTTATAAAAGATTCTTTATTGCTTGTTACAAGCTTGAAATACACAACCTAGCCAGTAAACTTAGTTTTCCTCAATACAGTAAGAATGATGTTCATCTCAGTGATTAAGAGCCCAGCTTTGAATTCAGAGGGATCTAGGTTTACACCTTGGTTCTGCCACTTACAAATTATGTAACTTGGCAAGTCACTTAACCCCAAACTGCTCAAAGTCTCTGTTTACTCTGGCCTATTACTAAAGGCAGTTGTGAGAATGGAATGGAATTAGGTATTTTGGCACAGTGCCTAGCACATGGTCAGTGCTTAATAAATGTGAATTTTTATATGTGCCTACAGGCCTTTTTTTTCAAATTCTACTTTAAAACTTTGATTGAACAAAGGAATGGCCCATCTGGAGGATGGTTATAACAGCCAGTGGGTATGGCTTTCAGAACACGACCTACCAGGACAACTAAAGGGTGTAGGTGTTTAAAGAACCCAAGAGCAGGAACTGCATTGTTGTGGTAGAGAGGATGGAATTAGAGCTGGGAATCTAATTGAGCACCTTTATGGAATTAAAATGCTTTCAAAAAGTTGGAGACTATAAAGCTATTCAATACCAAATACAGCAATTTCTAGTGAGATGCTGGGCAGTGTCACCATGGGAAACTTTAGAAAGCTTTTGAAAAAAATTCTACAAAACAAAACTTTAAGAAAGGTTGCTGAACTAAAGAAAACAAAGCTCACCGCAAAGGCGTAAAATAAACTGAAGTGCAAAATATTTTAATTCCATACCTTTTCAAAAGTTCGTGTTTTATAGTTTTCAGGTGTACCAGAGAACGCTGCTGTTCCTCAAATTTAAATATCTCCACTGTGGACTCCATGTGGGGATGATTCACAACATAAAGATACACAATTTGGTCTAAAGTGGAAAAAAAGGCATAATTTCCAAGAAGTTTGCTTCTGTTGCAATTATTATTAGACTTAGTGTAGAACTTGGTCATGTCCAAGGATTTTCCTTATACATCTTGCATTTGATCCCCACAACCCATCTGATAAGTAAGTCAGACCAATGCCAGAATCCCCATTTTCTTGAAGTAACTGACACTCAGAAGGTTAATGACTTGTCAGCAATTTCATCACCACCCAGTGGCAGAGCCAAGCCCAGAGGTTTCTGCAATGCCCTCTTCAGTCTCACCTGCACACCCTCACTAACAGGAAGAAACAGAGCTACAATGGTGCATAAACACGGATGTGGTTTCTCAGGGTGGCCCTTCAGCAAGAGAAGTAGGTACAAGCAAGCAAAGCTTTGCTGAGAATTCTTTTCTGTGGGAATTGCCTACATTGCAACACATGTTCAAGAGTCAGGCCTGTGTAAATATCTTCAAAGAACATTTCCCCGCTAGAGTATGAACCCCTGACACAAGTCGACTACCTGAGGTTGCAGTAAAGATATTTAGTTTTTTGTGAACCCAACAGACATGGAATGTAAATATGAATGTAGGAGAAAATAGATTAGCTGATTCTAGGTTTGACCAACCTGAGGAATGCTCACCTCTCTGCTTTCGTTCTGGAATGTGAACTGCTGTAAACAGGATTGGGGATAGTACTCTGGCATCTCAGAATACTGTTTCCTGACCTAGTAGGAGCGCTAGGTCAGATGAGCTCTGGAGTTTTAAAGAGCCTGACCCCATGCTCCCACTGCAAGGCTTGATCTGCATTTGCCTCCCGGATGCCCTTCTTGATTGGGTTTCCAATCATACAATGGTGCAAGCTGGAGCTCTGAGATGTGGGACTCATATGTAGGGCCCCTGAAAACATGCAGGCACCTTAACCCAACTAAGGAAAAGTACACCCTCACCAATGAATCTGTCTTTTGATCTGACCCAATTCTGTTCCAGGAACTGGCAACTCTTTTCCAGGGACCTGGCAAGCAGAACTGGAGTAGGATTTAGCTCCCAAATGGCCCTTCAACCAGACATTCATGCTGGACACAGCATGAAAAATATACATGCTGCCCTGGCTTTACGCTCTTCTTAAGACGTCTTTTCATGTAAGAGATGCTTGCTGAGAAGACTTTTTCTCTGCCTTCTCATTCATGCCAATTTATGTGTAATGTTTTGGCCTTATGAGTTAAATATAGAATTAAGGGAGATCACTAACAAAATAAGATGTCAATCATAATGCACTCAACTTCTGAAAGCCTGATTATACGCCTGAGGGTTAATCTGTAAACAGATCCCATCTCAAAACCAAAAACAAACAAACAAAACCCCCCAAACAATCCTCAACGCCTCTATCCCCTTCTCCCCAACAGACTCTACCTCTAACACCATCCCATGCAATAAAATAGCTCCAGGTTAATCTGATCACTCATTACACTCTCTCCAAAAAAGCATGATAAGTCTAGTTGGATGTCAGGCAAAAAGGTGGTGACTAAAATTATTTAAACAGAGCCAGGAGCACAAATTTCACCTGAGTAAAGGACGTAGGATTAGAAGTAAGACAACTTGGGTTCTATTTCTAGTGCCATTTCCTAATGATAGAAATGAAGTCACATTGCACCACATTTCTCTGAACTCCATTTCACCATCTATAAAACTGAGTATTAATATCTGCCCTGCCTGTCTCGTAGGGTTCATTCATTCATTTATTTAACACATGTTCATAGAGCCCCTAATTTGCAGAAAATACTGTTCTAGACTCTTAGAATCCAACAATAAACAAGTCACATTGTTCTAGAGAATAAAACAGGGAGAAAATAATTAGTAAATAAGAGTAAATGGTAGTGGGGAGACATGCCTTCTTCATGGAGTTGTACGCACTTGAAAAGTGACAGTTAAGCTTGGATCTAGAGATGAGAAGGAGCTCTCTATAGGGCAACAGTGGGAGAGGGGAAGAAGGTTGTTATCTTTTAACATTAATAAAAAGCATTAATTACCATTTTGATGAGTGCTAAAAGAAAAGTATATTGGAAGAAATATAACAAGGTTCACATCCTGACATGAGATGGTGGGAAGACTTCTCTGAGAGGTGACATTTAAGCTGAGGTCTGACTGATAAGGAAGAAGAAGCTAGAAGTTCCAGGCAGAGGGAACACAGATGCAAAGGCCCTGAGGCATGCAGCATTATATAAGGCCAAAGGAAATCCAGTGTGGCTGGTTCAGAGAGTCAGGCAGACAATGGTGTCCAGTGAGGCTGGTGAGAGTACCCAGATGCCAGAAGGTGTGGGGAGGGTAGCACCTAGGAAGTCAGGCCACTCTGGAGATTTAGGGTTTATCTTCAGAGTATAGGAACAATACAGATAATTTCAGAGTAATAGGAACAATAAGGGAGTGACATGATCAGATTTACATAAAAAAATCAGGCTTGCTTATTAAAATGGATTGGTGGTGTAAGAGGGAAAGAGCACTGTAGAATCCAGGAAAGACACACTGGGGACTTGAAGTGGATGGTACAGTGAGGATGGAGCAAGATGATGAGCTTAGAGATATATTTGAGGGGTAAATTGGACAGAACATTGTAACTAGTTGACTGAATGGGGCAAGGAGAGAGGGAGAGTCAAGGTTGGGCCCAGGGTTTTATTCTGAGGAGTAAATAAATTACATATGAAAATGCTTTGTAAATTGTAAAGCAGTGCAAAACTGTTAGGTACTATTATCTTTTAAAGAAGGGCTTGCTAAGCAAATAAACAGCATATATTAGATTCCAGGAGAATATTTAACCTACTTAGTAAAATAGTATTCAAGCATTTTGAAAAGTATCCACTTATTTAAAAGTAAAGAAGTCTGTATTGGTGCAGACCAAAGCAATTAAACACAGATTGACTGGATAAGTAGATTGAAATAATTATTAATCATTCCTTTTTACATTGAAATCACTCTGCAAATTTATACTCAACAATGCATGGTAACTCTCCTGTGTATTTGGAAGAATTAAAACACCATTTCTTTAAAAATTCTTTAAAAATTTCTTTAAAAATTCTAAATTGCAATACTTCCATTTGGCCCTCCCTTCATGGAGCTATTAGTGAGGTTTCACTGTTCTTATTTCTGCATGATCTATGGACCCACGAATATTTAAAAATAAAGTTTAGTCTGAAATGATAAGCTATAAAGTAAAAAATAATATTGGAAAAAATTTAAAGCATATACAATGTATTAATAACTGTTTTTGTTTTTTAAAACAGCTTTTTTGAGATACTTCACTTGCCATTAAACTCACACTTTAAAAATGTACAATTTAGGGGGTTTTAGTGTATTCACAGAGCTGTGCAACCATAACCACTATCTAGTTCCAGAACATTTCCACCACCCCAAAAAGAAACCCCATATCCATCAGCCACCACTCCCCATTCCCCACTCCCCAAGTCCCTGCCAACCACTAATCTACTTTTTGTCTCTATAAATTTGCCTAATCTAGACACTAAACAAAAATGTAATCATACAAAATGTGGCCATAGTGACTGAATTCTTTCACTTAGGATAATGTTTTCAAGGTTCACCCATGTTCATCCGTGTAGCACGCATCAGTACTTCATTTCTTTTTATTGCTGAACAATGTTCCGCTGTATAAACTTACCACCTTTTGTTTATGCGTTCATCATTTCATGGGAGTCTGGATTATTTTCACCTTTTGGTTATTAGGAGCACTGCTATGAACACTGGTCTGTAAGTTTTTGCATGGACCTATGGTTTCAGTTCTCTTGGATACATACCAAGGAGTAGAATTTCTGCATCATACAGTAACTCTATATTTAACATTTGGAGGAACTGTCACACTGCTTTCAAAAGTGTCTGCACCCAATCCTACCAGCAAAGTGTGAGAATGCCAATTTCCCTACATCTTTGCCAACATTTGTTATTGTCTGGTTTTTTTTTTTATTACAGCTACCCTAGTGTGTGTGAAGTAGTAACTTGTGATGGTTTTTATTTGCATTTCCCTAATCCAACCAAAGATATTCAGTATCTTTTCATGTGTTTATTGGCAATTTGCATATCTCTTTGGAAAGATGTCTACTAGAATCCTTTGTCCATGTTTTAATTGGGTTATTGGTATTTTTGTTGTTCAGCTGTAAGAATTATTTATATATTCTGATACAAGCCTCTTATCAGATATCTGATTTGCAAATATTGTCTCTTATTGTTTGGGTTGTTTTTTCACATTCTTGATGGTGTCTTTTGAAGTTTTTAATTTTGATGATGTTTATCTATTGCTTTCTTTTATGTTGTTTTTTAATGTCACGTGATTATTTTCAGAGAGCCTTTAGTTCATATGTTAGATTTCTGAGAACAATATTTAAACTGGTTTTGATGGTCAAATGAGAAGAAAGGTGGGTAGGAGAAAAAGGGTGTGACCACAGTCTAGTCTCCTTTCTTTAAATGTGATTTTAAAAAATGTTTTGATACACGTTTATTATCTTACAAATATATATCCTTAGGGTAAAATAGCATCTTCCCTCATTTCACATACATGTTGAGTAGTTGAGGATGAGTCATTTGTATTTCTGTCATTTCCCCCTTATTCTTAAGCATTCAAGCTTTACCTTTGTCGATGAAAGTACTGATCCCATGTGGATTAAATGATGCTCTGTCAAACCCATCACTGATGTTTAGTGACTGGGCCCTTGGGTTTTGCTCATTGAGATCCATCAAGAAGATTTGTCCTGGCTCATCTGGTGCAAAGTCTGGCATACCTGGATATTTTAATCCCTTTAAAAAATAGAGAATAAGGATGCACATATATAATATCAAAACAAAGTTTCATATAAAAGCTAAAATCTCAAGGCCTAACAGAAATGTTTAAAGCTCTAAATTTCTTTTGGATTTGGGGGATTTTTCACTCTATTGGGTTCTGCCAGGAGGGATTACCAATGCGATCTGAGCCATTGGAATGAGAATGGGAATATGGGATGATCCTATATTCAATTTTTAATATAGAGAGAAGGGGCTAAGCCAAAAAGTATAATGCAAAAGACTAAGCTGTGTGGCTTTGTTGGAGTCCCTTGGCCTGCCTGTGCTTCCAGTTCCTCATTTATAAAATGAGGAAGTTAAAATATGTGATCGCTAAGATTCTTTCTAGTCCTGATATTCTATAAGTAACCTTCCTCAAAGCAGAGAGAGGGGTACATAGTTCCATTGCATTCTTCCACTCTTACATCCATTATATTATGTAGTGACAAAGAGCAGAATCAGCTAAGAATTAACATAGCGGAACCAGTTTCATAGAGTTGACTATTTCTGACCTATTTTGTTTCTATAGATATGTCTGAAGATTTGGATGTGAATCCTTTTCTCCAAATACTGCAAAAAGTTCATTCCAGTATAATTTGGACAGTGGTTCTTTCTATTGGAAGGACCAAGTGTTTATCAACCAATAACAGGCATGCTGCATGTACTGGGTCTTGGCTGCATCCCAGGTCACTGTGTCAAAACTTGGGGTCGGTTTACTTTACACCAGTTACAAAACTCAGCCCACTTCCTCTCTGTATCCATTTCCCATCACTCAGTATCAACAACCTTGCGTCTTTTCTTATATCCCCATTTCCATTTATAATCAATTTAAATTCTCTCTTTATCTTCCTCCGTCTTCCTTCTTCCTACTCTACCTTCTCCCTGTCTCCCCCCTCCCCTTTCTTTCTTATAAACACACACATACACACTTATAATTATACTATCCTTGGCCCTTCCACTGCCTACCCCTGAGGGAGTCAATTTTCAGTTTCAAACAACCCCACCTATATCTGCAAGCTTTTTTTAGAACAGTTCTTCTATACCTAAATCTTATGGAAAAACTCGCTTTCCCCTAGACAACAGGGGCACTGATTCAACTCATCCAAGGAAGAGCTATTCCCTTTTCTTGAGCCACCACAGGTAGAGGAGAGATCCTCATGCCCTGAGACACAAACGTCTGCTGCCAGACCTTGAATCTGCCATCATAAGTCAAGAGCCCGTCTTCTAAGGACACTGAACTCTTCACTTACTGCTTCCTTATCAAATTCCCTGGCAAGTGCCTTAGGCCTGTTCTAGCTCTTATATAGGGCTAGTCTAAAATCAGGTTGAAAAACACTACGAAGTTATCCTCCCAACTTAAACAATTCAATACCATTTGTCAATATCTGTGTTCATTCTAACAGGTAATCTATTGCATATCTCCAAGTATCTCTTCTAAATTTATTTCATTATCTTCCAGAGCCCACACCATCATCCTCTATTCTCAATGGATAACTTCACCTCCTGTTTCTCTGGAGAAAAACGCCACACCATTCAACATGAATTTCCTCTTATTGATTCTTCAGTTTTATCAATGCTCTTCCTTTCTCCATCTTTTCTTAAGGGAAGGGTATCCTTCTTCTGTTCTTAAGTTGACTCCAACACTAGTTTATTTGGTTCCCTGTTCCCTAGGGCCTATCTTTAGAAATCATATCCTCTTTCACTTGCTTTACCACTCATTCTTCATCAATGCCCTCTTCTTTTGCCTGAAAGAGTGCTCATTTCTCCTTCCTTGCAACAAATCTTCTCCAACTTTACTACTTCAACCAGGCATTTTTCTCACCTTCCCTTAACTGTCAAATTTCTTAGAAACATCACTTGACCCGTTGTCTGATTTGAATTGCTCCAACTCTTAATTCCCTGGAGCCAGTATTCTACCAGTTTATAGAAATGCCTCCATTAAAGGTCATATCATTGGCCTCCGAAATGTCTTATTTGATAACTCTTCTACATTTCCTTATCTGTATCTGTGTGGCATTTGACACTACGATAGAAATTTTTTTCTTGTCAAAAAGCTAGAAAGTAGGATTTCCAGAAAGAATTCCTGCTTCTCTTCATGATTTTTCCTCCTTTTGTCCTCATCCATCCTTCTTTCCTTCTCATTCTATACTCTTTCCTTATACATCTTATTCATAAAGTTTCAGGTATTTCTTCAATACCAGTAATTTTCAAACCTGCACATTTTCCTGGAACCTCTCTCTGGAGCCCTAGCTTGCATCTCTGGTTCTTCCTAAGGGCAGCTCACAATCAAATGGTCAAAACCGAAATCAACATTCTTTCCTCAAATCTTTGCTTCTTCTCAGTTAAGGGAATCACTGCTCTCCCTAATATCAGGCCATAAAATTCAGTCTCCAAGACTACCCTTTCCTCCACAGTCACTCTGTCATCAAGCCTTGTGGCACAGATAATGGCAGCACAGGTTAAAAAAAAAGTCAGAGACATCTAATCCTTCTCTTTTTCATCTGAGGAAAATCTCCCCTTTTCACGTAAGGAAAATTAGGCTCAGAGAAGCGAATTGACTAAATAACTCAGACCACTAATTGTACAGCCTCTTTCTGCCACACCATAAAGACAGACTTCACAGTAGAGAATATTGCTCAGGAAGGCAGCTCAAGGCAGGACCCCACAGCAAGTACCTCGGGGGCTTGGGGGAATGTGAGGGCACTGCCAGCTAGAAGAACCGGGTGATGTAGAAATGGAAATGATTTGATAGGGAACTCAGGGTGGGGCATGGAAGACAAACCTGGCCTACATTATGTGTCATGATGAATGAAATTCTTCTAAGGAATGGCTTCATATTCACCTGGTTTTCTGTTTAAGGTAGTGAGTAAAAAATCTGTGGCAAGTGATTGCAAGCAATCCTTTTGATACCATTCACCACTGAAAATCACCCAGAGGTGCAGGCATCTTATTTCCACCAATAGACTATAAGTATGTGTGGACAGGCACTGAATTCCCCCCACTGCCCTCATTCACCAGTACATACACTCAGTAAACAGTCAAGCACCTGTGTATGTCAGGTAGTGTGTTAGGTGCTAAGTGTGGGAACAAACATGCCAAAGTCCTAGTCTCAAAAGGATTGAAATCCAGGGAGGCAGCAAGCGCATCAGACATAGTGTGGCATCTAAGAGCCTAAGCACAGGGAATGTAAGGGACCAGAGAAGAGCCACCTCGCCCAGAAAGAGAATGTTAGAGATTTTCCTGAGGAATTTGAGTGCCACCACAGCGAGCTCTCATAGAGAACTAGGAGTTACATGTGAAGAGTAATCTTGCAGCAAAGAGCATGCCAAGTTCCAAAGTAAGGACGTAAATAGCCTGCTTGCACCACTAAATAGACTAAAAATATCTCTTGCACAGAATTACTTTCTAAATCAGCAGCTTCCAAACATGTTCTAGGATGGCAAGAACCAAGAACAAGGACTTGAATTTATCACAGTACAGAAAGATTAAAAACAAGCAAAGAATATTATCCTTATTCTATAAGGATGAGTTGTTATTTTACAAGAAGAGCTAACATTTCTCATGGAATTATTTGTGATAAAAATCTCTACTTTCTGTATAGCAAGACTTCAGAACATTTAGTTCTAGTGAAAATAGAAAAGAAACATACAGTAGGAACTACAAATATTATTTCCTAATGGCAAAGAAATCTCCTAGCTATAAGTAATTCTTTTTAAAGGTCTATTTGGCATAACATTAAAAATCTAAATTGACAATAGATAATTTAAGCCAACAAAGAAAAAGGTTTCTAGACAGCTTTGTTTTACTTTTGGTTTTGGAGGAAAACTAAAGAAATAAAATTCCTCCCACCCACCCCCACATATACCACCACCAGCAGCAATTTAAGATCCAAATGAGACCCTGATTATACTTAAGAATTTAGAAATTAGGGCTATTAAGGATTATTTTATGTGCCCCCTTTTTGGCCAAAAAGATACAGATTTTTAAATTTTATGTTATTTGGTAGTATTTTATTGGCCAAAATGGACTATTAAAATACTCAACTCCAGTGATCAGAATTCACATTGGAAATGCAGTCAATCTAGTTTTTTTCAAAATCCTAGGTTCCATT